CGGTTTTAAATTAATTTTTTCCTTTACTACAGCTGGTCTTGGTGGTTGATTACTGTTTGTTGGACCAGGCAATCCTTTGCCAGCTGGCTGTGGCTTTTATTAGCTCTTTTAAGACGACTTGATTTAGAGCTCACAGTTATGTTACAAGGACAGCAGCTCTGTAACGCAGACCCTCAAGAGAAGAGATAATTAGGACTCATGAAAAAAATTGTGTTCAGTTCTTTCAACAAAACTGCTCTTGTTTAAGGAATGTGGTGCTATAGGCTAATATTTAACAGCAGTCTCCCTTCTCTTGCTCAGAGCTGGCGCGAGCAATTAGACCCTGCCCTCCATCAGATACACTGGGTAGTACTTTCTAGGAGCATCTCAAAATGGAGGAGTGCCGCCCTGTAGCAAGTACAGAACGTGTCTTGGGGATTGTATTTCTGCAAGCAGGGCCGGAGGTACTGGTAGAAGGAGTGGTGAAGCAGGAAAAGAGTTGAAGAGGTGCTGAGAAGGCTCTTGTACAGGGGAGGGGGAGGAGAGGAACAAACATTGCAGGGAACAGGAAAGACGATGTGCTGGGAAATGATTAATCCACCCCAAAGGCCCTTGCTAAAAAGTGGTGGGACAAGCTCAATGATTTTTGGCAGCCATGAGCTACTTCTGCTCCGCTCTCAACTCCCGTCTTGCAACCAGATGTGTTTAAGTACAGATTCATCCCATTCCTGCCCCTGACACCACGTCCCCCCGTCAGTGTCCTTCACGGCGTTCCTGGCAGCTCCCTGGCAATACGTCCCCTCCCACACGAGCATTTATTTTATGGCTGTCCCGTGTCCCTCCACCTCCAGTAAGCGTTTCTCAAGTGAGCGGGAGCACACAGTCCGTGGTGGGAGAAGGGGGCAGGAGTCAAGTTTAAGAACTGCTGTTCTGTATCCTGTTGTTTTCCTACTCAGATTGTTCCAGTTTCCTGCACTGTCTTATCTGGAGCTGAAAAGCCAAAGCTCTCATGTGTACGTGTTTTGTGTGTGCCTCAGGTTTCTGATCTGTGAAAGAGAAGACAAGAGAGACATGGGTAGGGCTCCGACAGGGTGGAGGGACAGGAGCAAAGTGGTTCAAGGACTTTTACTGCCTATACAATTAGTCTGTTTATTTAGTTGTCCTGCTTGGATAAGCCTGTGTGTGTCACAGAGGGTTTCGGAGAACCCTCAGCACACCGTGATGCTGCACAGAGTCCGCGGAAATGGCGGAACTGTGGGCAGAGTAAGATTCAGATCTTTGCCTTCCCGGTGACCCCAGGTACCTGTGTCCCACAGACCTGCCGAGGGAATCGCTTTCAGAAAGTGCTGAGTGTGTTGTTTCCCCCAAGGGCGGAAACTAGACACAGACAAGTCTCAGAAGGGAGTGAGCGTTTCAATGCTTTTAGTCAGCCTTGACTTCCAAGGGCTCCACTGAAATGCTGTAGATTTCTTTGGAATTACTTGGCCACATTTTCTGGAATACGGAGGTAAAATAAGCACATGCTGTGCTGACGTCTTGAAAGCTTACTGTGTGCATTAGAGTCATGAAAAAGCAAAATCTGGCAGGTTTTCTTTTTTAACTTTTTCCCTCTAATAAACATGAAATCACTTAACTATAGGTTATGTTAGTGCACTGAATTCCCTATGGGTTAAAAAAAAATCAAAACATTTACCGTACAGCTTTGGAATGTCCTGTTTTTCTGCGCAAAGGTGTGGGTCCCGCATGCACGGTGTCTGTTATCAGATGGGAGTCTCTCCTGGAAAGATAATTAAAATGCTTCATCACTCACAGCCAGGCAGATACTGAACCAGACACAAGGTTTGAAAACAAAACTCAACCCCCAGCCCCAGACCCCTCCCCCACAAGCATCCTGGTTTTGTTGGAAGCTAGTAAAAAATGTGGCAATGATCAAGATGGATTTTTATTAACTGAAGAGATGAGAAGTGTGTCAGTTCAGCCTTTGTGGGTAAATACATGTTTCTTTTTTTTTTTCTGCTCAGTTGTAACTGTAAATTCAGACTCGGTCTACTTGGCAGTTTCTTTGGACCTACTCTCATCTGATATGAATGTGAGAGCTGGAATGGGCTGAAGAAGTATCCTTAGTTGATTACTAGAGCCTTTATTTGGAACTATCAAGAGAAAAAAGGCTTTCTTTCAAAGAGATCAGGAAAAGGAAGACATGTGCTTGGAGATAAGGAAGGATAAAAGCATTCCATTTCAAGACGCCAGCGATAGCAATCAAATGTTCATCTGCCAAGTCAGTAATTTCATGGCCTTATGACCGTGCAGAGCTTCCTTTGCTGGTACCTTTTCCCACACGAACTGTAAGCACCAAGTTATGGGTATGAAAATTCCTTTTAGTTTGTCCGAGCAGCTCAGCCCTTTAGGGAGGAATTCCACAGGTTGAACTTGAAAATAAAACTTTCTTTGACTTCAGAAGGGGAAAACCAGTTCTCCCATAAAATTCTGTTCAGCTTTGAGGCACAGTGAGGCCCGGGAGCGGGCTGTGAAGTCCTCGTCCTCGGGAGGCTTGCGGCCAGGTTAGATTTGAGGTGACTTCCAGCCCTGGTCTCGGTGAGTTGTTCGGAGTGAGATCACAGGGACAGTGGATCCTACGCAACACCTCGATTAACAGAGGTCAGGAGCCCAAAACGCATTTGCTGCCTCGGAACGGGGTTTTTTGGCCCGTTGTTTGTTTAAAGCAAGGAGCAGATTTCAGTTAGGGAGTTCTTTGGAAACCCTCGCTCGGCGTGTTTCACAGGCTGGCGTGTGCAAACAGCAGAGCATTCTAGGCTAAAATTATCCGTGCTATCATTAGGAAGCTGTGAGAAGGAGCATATGGATGGATACCAGCGTCGTGCCGAAGGGCCCTCCGGAGCCGTGCTGCCACACAGCAGTTTCACCCTGCACGGGAGCGGTTCCAGTGCCCACTGGTCACTCCCCAGCGGGGAGTACAGCTGCTGCGAGAGGTTTGACCTGGGCTTTTCTCCTCGCCAGGGACATTTGGTTCCCTGAGCTGTCTCCCGAGGTGCATGCTTCACTTTGGTTTGTTTCCTGCCCCTGGACAGCCCGGCCGGTCACACTCTGACATCCCTTTCTCCACGCGGGGCTCAGCCTCACCCGGGTCCCTCCGTGCCCGCTGCCTCGCACGGAGGCGCAGCCGCTGCCCGCTGGGGCACCGCAGGGCTCCTGCAGCAGGGCGGGTTGCTGCCCGGGACCTGACAGGCGTTCCC